GCCTTAGCCACAGATGCCGAACCCAATCTCAAGGTTCTTAACACCACTGGAATGGAGATTACTTCCAGATTTTTATGTCCAGGCTTGTATATCCAACTCCCAATTCTCTATCTCTTTGGATATCTAATAGGTTATTTAAGCCAAACTTAAAATTCCCAAATTCAGTTTATGGTCCCCTTCACTGAACGTTAATCTATGTTCAGCCCTATTTAGTAATGCCAACTCCATCCAGTGGATGGAGTCCAGTGGAGTGAGTCAAAAATCTTGGTGGCATCCTTGATAATTCAAAATACACCCCAAATACTAACACTTCTCACCATTACCATCTTTAACTAGGTTCAGTTTATTTCAGTTATGAGAGGCAAACAGAATATAAACAAGTTATTTCAGAAAATAACTGAAATAAACTGCTTTTGACTTTTGTCCTCCCTCCACCCCAACGTCTACTTGACATGGCTTCTATCTCATTCAAAGTAAAAGCCAAGGATCTTATAATGTTCTACAAGGATTTGGTCCCTTACCAACTTTTTTTTTTCTTGAGACAAGAGTCTCAAGCTGTCGCCCTGGGTAGAGTACCGTGGTATCATAGCTTACAGCAACCTCCAACTCTTGGGCTCAAGCCATCTTCTTGTTTCAGTCTTTCTATTTTTAGTAGAGATAGGGTCTTGATTTTTGCTCAGGCTAGTCTCAAACTCGTGAGCTCAAGTAATCCACCCGTCTCAGCCTCCCAAAATGCTGGGATTACAGGTGTGAGCCACCTCGCCTGGCCTTCCCAACTTTCTGATTCCTATGGATACTTTCCTTCACTGATTCTGCCCCATCCCCTGGTGTTTTAGAAAATAAGCCAAGCTTGATTCTAGTTTAAGCCTTCCCACTTGCCATTTGCTCTGCCAAGAAGAACCTTCTTCCAGATAAAAGCACTTTATCTACCGTCTTCAGGTTATTCTCCAAATTCACTTATTGGTGAGGCCTTTCTAGAATACTACAGTGAGGCCTTTGCAGAATACCATGTCTAAAAAGCAATTGGCCTGTCTCCCACATTCCCTATTCACATTCTCTGATTATTTTTTCTCAGTAGTACTGACGTCGTCTTTCATACTTGTGTTACTTGTTTATATTGTTTGTCTGTCTAGAAGGTGAGTTTGATGTAGGCAGAGCTTTTGATTTTGTTTGATTCTTTAGGTCCAGTAGCAAGAACACACTGCAGGTGTTAGATACTTGTTGAACGAGTGAGTGAATAGAATACTAGAAAGAGATTGGAGGAAAATGCTAATAGTGATTATTTCTGGGAAAGGAAAATGATA